GTACTGGGGATCGAACTCGGGACCTTGCGCTTGTGAGGCAGGCGCCGGAACCACTGAGCTAAATCCTCGACCCTCCAGCCCTTTTTATGTTGTATTTTGAGACAGGGTCTGGCTAAGTTGCCCAGGCTAGGCTTGACCTGAAATCCTCCTGTCTCAGCCTCCCAGAGTGCTGGGATTGGTTTCTTGGGGGTTTTTTTCCCCCTCGAAGTTTCACTGGTTATGCCAAGCTGTGCAGTCAGGAGACTCGTGCAACCGCTGGGTCCTCTGCCCAAGCTCCTTCGAGGGGCTGAGCAGCTGTGTTTTCCTCGGGGACCTGGGGTCCACTTCTAAGCTTGCTTCTGCTGTTTTTTGTTTGGTTGGCTGGTTGGTTGGTTTGGTTTGGTACTGGGGATGGAACTCAAGACCTTTCACTTGTGAGGCAGGCGGCATCATCACTGAGCTAAATCCCTGGGCCCAAGTTCGTTTCTGCTATTGGCAGAATTTTGCTCCTAGGGGTTCTAGGGCTGAAGTTTGATTTTCCTTGCTGGCGGCTCGTTTAATCCCCAGCACCGCATAAACAAACACACAAACCACTGTCATCTGCTTTTGAGATGGACGACACCAAACCCCAACAGCAAACTGCTTCCCAGTAGCCCAAGCTCCACGGGCTTCCCGGTCACAGAGGATGTCTTGGTTCCTCTCCTTGTAAAACCACGCCTTCCTCCTCCTTTGCAAGGCGCCCCTCGGGTGGCCGAGGGCCTGGAAGTCACCCTGGGCAACCGTGGCTGTCCTGATCTCGGAGCACTTGATCCTCAGCTTCAGATCAGCTCAGAGATTCCGATCACGCTGGAGTTTCCCTCACAGCTGCGCCCGGAGAGAAGAGCGGGACCCCCGGGAACCCACCCCAGTGGCCTTGGGGTTGAAGCCCACGAGGCGTTTACCTAACGGATGGCTCGAGGTACCAGGAACAACCAGGTCCAAATTCTACCCCAGCAGAGCAGCTCAGGGGCCCTGTGGGCCAGGCAGTCAGCTGGGGGCGCTCCCGGACCTGTTCTGGAACTGCAGGGGACCACGCTCGGTCCCGCCCACCAACGTGGGCACCGCCCCCGCTTGTGGCCACGCCCCCGGCCCCCACACCGCCCTCGCCTCAGCTGCGCGCGCCGGGCCGGGGTTGGATGCAGCGGATACCCGTCCGTCCCCCCGCCACCACACTCGCGGGCTCCCCGACCACGTCGGCCCGGCACAGGCGGCCTGGACTGAGCGCCCCGTGGGGCTTCCTTCTGCCCGGGGCTGCGGGCCGCTGGGGGCCGCCTGGGCCCGGGACGGGCTGCATTCCGGGCGTTCCGGTGGGGCCCGGCTGCCCAGAAACGCCAGGCGCGAGATGGGGCGGGACGGGTCCCCTGCGCGAAGTGAAGGGCTGCGCCGCACGCCTCGGCCCACTCTGAAAGCCTTAGATGAGCGAGTTTCATATTTGAAGAATATGCAAAAGTAGCATTCCACCCCATGATGTCCATGTGTCTGTGTGTCCGTTCGCCGTAGTGTAAGAGCACTCGCTAAGAGCTCGTTTTCAGGAAAAGGTGAATTTAGGTCTGGGGCAGATCCAGAAGCAGGCACGCCTTCGAGATTTCTGGTCCTCATACCCACCCGGCTCGAGGACGGTGCTGGACCCACTCAAAGCCCGAGTGGACGCACAGGTTTTCAGAGGGGAGAAACCGAATTGCTAACCGAGGGAGGGACAGGGGCGAGCGGCCGAGGCCGATCAGTCCCGGGTGCTTAACCAGCGGTGGGACCTGGTCAGCCCGACTCGGCGGCCCCCAGGAACGCAAAAGGTTTCCTCCTTCGGGGCGTTTCAAAGAATAATCTGGAAAAGAAGTTTTTCACACAGTGGCAATACTATCGAAATCCCCCAAACCCCAAAATACTAAATTTCCAAATCATTCATTGGACATAACATTTTTCTACTCTGTGGGCTTTGGCACGAATACAGCACATTTACGACCAAGTTATTTGTAAGGAAGGAGGAAGGAGATAGCAGTTCTGGGGAGACGGTGGGGTGTCAGACTGGGAGCGGGGTTCCGGTGGAAGCCTCCGCTGCTCCCCAGCTGGGGTGCCCAATGCTGGCCCCAGAACAGGTCTTCTTTGTTACAGGCAGGAATCCCCTGCGGACTCCTTCAGTTATGTAAATGTGGCCGCCTCTGCACCCCAGCCCTGGGGAGAGCAGAACGGGACATTTTGGGGCCTGATAAAGGCTGCCCTTTCCCACGGCCTCTTGGAATGGAGAGCTGGTGGGGGGAAGCCGAGGAGCCTTTCGCAAATGCAGCCCAGGGTCTTGGGGGTGGAAAAGTCTTGCGACCACCACCCACCTGCTGTCCCAAATCGGGCTGGGGACTGACTCAAATCCATTGCCACCAAAGGCCTGGGAAATTGCTTCAGGATGCCAAAGCCTGAGTGTTTGTGCCCTTTGGTGGGGAGCCACAGTCACGCTCAGCATCCTGGTGCTAGGAGTTAGGATGGCTGAGCTGGTGAGGGTGTCTGGGGAGCGGGACACAGGCCTGAGAAGCCACCCGGCTGTGCAGGCCCCGTGTTCAACAGCGCCGTGGTGTGGAGGGAGGGGGAAAACCTGCATGCTGGTGGAGCGCACTAAGTTCTTGGCTAATTTGGGAGGGGACGGCTCCCACCCATGATGGGATTTTTTGTCCAAATGTAACCGTATTTGTGCCCCAAGATGAAGTCATGTTGATTATACACGGTAAATACCACAGGGCAAGGCATATAAAATGTGTTCCATACAGTGGCAACTGTTGTCATTATTACTAGCGTTAGGGCCCACAAGATGATACCCTGAAGTGCAGTGCTTTGTCAGGGAGAGGCTTTGAACTAAAGGAGGCTGGAAAGCAACCTCTCCACCTGACCCTGCCACCCCTCCTGCTGCCCTGGAGCTGAGGAGCAAAAAACACTAGAATTCTTCCCTCCCCCAAGTGAACCACAAAACCTGGACAGGTCAAACCCCTCTTCCTGGAAGACCCTCATTCCAGGGCCCATCTGTGCGTGGAGGGAGGAATCCAAGCAGACTGGGCTCCCTCTCCCATGTTATCGCTAGGTCAGACCATTAGGCCTTTTCTGGATCCCTGGGTCTTCATTTCTAAAGGCTCCCATGTCGCATAAAACGGTGATTAAGGAAATCTGTGTGTTTTTCCCTTGTTAAGCCGCCTTTTGTTGAGTCTCAGCTGTGACCTTTCGTATGGGTCAGCCCCTCTACCAGGAAGTGAGACTGTAAATACCAGCATCGTCCAGAAAGACCTTTATCTCTGTTTCTCAAAATGATCACCAGTGAGCTTCAAAAGGCCCAGCCGGTGTGGTGGAGCACCTCTGTAATCCCAGCACTTGGGAGGCAGAGGCAGGAGGATCGCCATGAGCTCGAGGCCAGCCTGGACTACAAAGTGAGTTCAGGTCCACCCTGAACACAAAGCGAGACCTTGTTCCCCCCCCGCCCCCCCAAAAAAGGCCAGGCCTGTCTTTAGAGGCAGCCAGGATTGCAGAGGCTGGGAGACACATTTCTAGAGTCACACTCTGAGGGAGAGGAAATGCCAGGGCCAGCGGAGTGGAGTGGCTGGAGCCCTCCAGGACCCCAAGGGCTCAGCACTCTGAGGGGCAAAGGGACAGGCCTGTGGCAGTTCTCCCAGGTCCAAGCCCCTTCTTAGTGGCGCCATCTCTCGATAAGGGGACAGAGGAGCCAGGGACAGTGGGGGAGGCCTTGGGGCCTGGAACTGGCTGCCTCCCTGTGCTGGGGGCGAGGACATATTTTCGAGGTTCCTGTCTGACCTGCTGGGCAGCTGTGGCGGCTCCCCAGGGCCTGCAGGAAGCACCCTAACTATTCCTGCCCTGCCGCTGCCGCCCAGGCAGCTACTGTGTCTCTACAGAGGCTTTTGGCTCTATCCCTGTGTATGTGGCACTCTGCCACAGGCGCACAGGCGCACATACGCTCCTCAGACACAGGTGCAGCTGGGCTGGAGCCTGTCGCCCACTGTGACATTCCTGGCCCTGCCTTCCGCTATGCTAATGGCGGCCTCCCCCCTCTCCCAGCAGGAGGGGCCCAAGTTGGCGGCAGAGGCTGGGGAAGGGGTGAGGTGGCCTGGAGTCACAGGGCCCATGGTGGGCACAGGCTGCTCCCACTGAGGGGACGGGTGCAGGGCTTCAGTGCCACCCCGAGCCCAGCTCTGCTGCTGGCCCTGTGCCCTTAGGGCCGAGACACCTTCCTGGGCCTGTAAGGCCCAGAACCAGGCCTGCCGGCCTCCCAGCTTAAGGCCCCTGCTCCCCCTTGATCCCACCTGGTTTTAGGTGCAGCTGCCACAAGTCCCCAAGGCCTGCGGGCAGTGCCCCATCCACCTCCCCACTGTTCCTGAGCTGCTCCCCCTGCCCAGACCAGGCAGCCTGCAGTGGCATGATGTGATAGTGTGATGGGCCGCAGCCTTCCAATCCCTAACAACTTCTGCACAGGACTCTGCAGTGAGCTCCACAAAGGCGGCAGCCAGCTGACCCTGCGGGCCGTTCGGGAGGAAGGGAGAGGTAGCAGCAGTCCTGTCCCCTTTCCTTCCTTGGGGCTTGGACCTGGGCAGCTGCTGGCTTGCTCACTGTGACTGCTCCTGGATCCTTTGCTGGGGGCAGCTTCCCTCCCCACCCAGCAAACAACCAGCTCAGGCCAAGGGCACCGCACAGGGCAGTCACCCCAACTCCCAGGCTGGGACCCCACTGGGCTGTGGCAGTGCTTCCCACCGTGGGGGGCACCAGCCTCAGCAATTGCCACTGACTCCAGCTTCTGGAATGCTGGCCTTGGCCTCGGCCCACGCCTGCTCCCCACAACTCCATCCTAATCCCAGTTCTCCGCCACCCCCAAGGTCCTTCGGCAGGGTGGGGGGCTCTTGCCCTCAAGAGACAGGACTGACAAGGAAGCAGCATCTCAGAGACCTCCAGCAACCTTGGTCCCAGGCAGGCCAGATGGAGTGGCAAGAGGAAGCTTCACACCAGAAAAAACCCAGTCCTGTTTTATTGAGAAAATAGAGACCATCCCTCCACCTTTCCTGGCGGACTCCACCCTGAGGTCGGGGGTGGCATCCCTGTGCACCCACCACCGCGGGCCCCTGTCCCTTCATTCACAGGGGCAAATGTTGGGCTGCTCAGGCCCCGGGGAAGTTGGGGTGCACGTGGGGAGGGGCTGCAGGGGGTGTGCAGGGTGGGGGTGCTTGCTGGGGCTAAGGGAGGTGAGGGAGAGGGAGGACCACCCCACTTCAGGCCCAGAGTCTGCTCCCTCTGAATTCTTCATAAATAAAACTTCACAGTAAGATTAAAGTCCACTTCCAGGACCAAACCGGCCAGTTTTGGGCCAGGGCACCGGCCTTGGTGGGGCTGGAGCCACACAGCAGCACTGGGACTCGGGGCCAGGAGCACTGCTCTTCTGCCCTGTGTCAGAGTACGGTGGGAGCTCAGGTGAGGTAGTGAGTGGCGGTCACACTTCCAGATGTAGAGGTCACAGCCAGGAGCGAGGCCTCCAGAGCAGAGGCTAGGGCTGACCCAGCGGGCCTGGGGCTGTACCGCGTCTGTGGGAGGGCCTCGCCAGCCGCAAGGCCCAGCGGCGCAGACCAGGGGCACCTGTGAGCCAGCACAGGGCTGAGCCTCTTTGGCTGGGGGGCTGTCTGGCTCTGGGGACACTGAGCCATTTCACAGGAGACACCCCTGTGAGGACGAGAGGCAGCCACAGAGCCCCCAGGCCAGATCCAGCCCAGGTCCCTGAGCACAGGTTTCCGGCAGAGGCCACCAGGGCCTCCCAGTCCTGGGCTTGGAGGGTCCCCGCTGCTTCTCAGATGCCCCCCAGCCTGGGCAGCACCCCATTCCCAAGCCTCACCGCCTGGGGAGGCTTCCTGCAGCCCACCACATCCAGCGGCACAGAAGGCCCAAACCCTCCACCTCCCGCAGGGACCAGAGGCTCTGTCCAGCACCACGGCTCCAGCGCAGTGCGCCGGCTGGCAGCCCTGTGGCATCAGAGCACCTGCAGCTTGCGGGAGCAGGTGAGATTGCTGTGTACCAGCCCCCACATGGCCAGCAGCTCAGTGGGCAGCAACTTGTGCACCACGAGCATGGAGCGGAAGAAGCAGGGCTCCTTGTTCATGCGGCTGGCGCGGTTCCGGGAGATGCCGAAGGTCTTGAAGCCCTCGTGGCCCGTGGGGCGCACGCCCAGCACTTCCAGGCACATGCCCAGGAAGACGTCGTCGATGGGGTAGAGCTCCAGGGTGTCGCAGGCGTGGTGCAGGCGCCGGGCCAGCCCGCCAGCCATGAGGAAGCCGCCACCGCCGGCATAGGGCGGGTAGCTGGGCTTGTTGTAGAGCACAGGGGGGATGTAGTATTTGTTGTCCTTCCTGCGGATGGGCTGCGCGTGCTTCAGGACATCACCCACGAACAGGTTTTCCCGGGGTTGCCGGTCAGCCAGGAACTCCAGCAGGTTGGTGGGGTTGACAAAGACGTCGTCATCGCCCTTGAAGATGAAGGGGATGTTGGGGCAGTAGATGTCCAGCCACTTGAGGAAGTGGATCTCCTTGAGGGTCAGGTTGAAGAAGCTATCCAGAAAGTCCCACTGCAGGATGTCGCCGTACAGGCGGTCCTCGTAGGCCAGCAACTGCTGGTAGTGGGCCCGTTCCTCCTGCTTGGACGCCGTGCCCAGCAGGAAGAGGGTGCGCACGGTGCCCCGGCCCCTGCCCGCCGACTCCCACTCTTGGCCCCAGGTCTGGCGGATGGCCTCACGGCGGTCATGCTGCGTGATGACTGACTTGACCACCACCATGAGGTACACGTTGCCCGCGCACTTCTCAGGGTGGTTCAGCAGCATGGGGAAGTACCGGCAGTGGCGATAGGTCAGGAACTGCCGGAAGTTTGGCTCCAGGCTCTGGAACCAGGAATGATGGGTCAGGTTAGGGTTGGCCGAGCAGTTCGTAGTGGTCACATCCCAGACCTGCGGCCCCCGGGAAGCCACTGGGCTGGGGGCCACCACCTCACTAGGGGTCTTCCAGAAGCTGTTGACGTTCACCAGGTGTCCACTTGGCTTCTGAGCCTTCAGGGGCTCCGGTGTGACTGGTAGGGGCTCCTGCAGAAAATGGCTGGGGGTCAGGCTGCGCTGGAAAACCGTCAAGGCCACGAGGAGAGCCAGGGCGAGGCCAATGCTCTTGTAGAGGGTTCTCTTCCTGGGGAATAGAAGGAGAAAACAGTGAGCACACCCCCAGGCAGCCCTCCCACGGGCTCGGGGGCCCCAGGCAGGCCCTGGGCCCCTTCCCTGAGAGGTCAGACCAGGGTCCTGTCCCCTCTCCCACAATGACCTCCTGACTCAGGGAGCAGCGGGGAATCAGGCCACTGTGGTTCCAGCTTCAGCTGCCACTTCTGAGCCCAATGACGTTAAATGGAAGTCACTTAACCTCCCCGAGCCACAGCTTCGTTCCCCAAATGGACAGAACACACGGGATAGGGGTGCCAGGCACCTAGCGGCATGCACTCGGGGAAACACTGTCACTGCACCCAAGGAACACTGGTGGAGACCTCTGCCCACTGGCTTTCATGTCCTGGTGCAAGCCAAGGGCTGTGGGCAGCGGTACAGCGATGTGATTGAGGAGGGCAGAGGAGGCTCCCTCTGGGCGTCACTTTGTAGGGCACCTGGGGAGCGGGCCCTCTCTTGGGTACCCCAGTCCATCTGCCCTGGGGGCAAAGGGGAGCCCTTAGGGTTGCCCAGAGCCTGCAAAGTGGGCAGAAACCCTCAGGAGGATCAGGGCCCCTCCCCCCACCTAAACAGCCCCGGGGCAGGAGTGAGATCGCCAGCTCTTCTGCCCTGGGAGGGGAACACATTTGGAGCCCCCACTCTGTAGGACACCCCCTGCCCGGGTTACCCCACCACACTTACTCAGGCTGCAGAAATTCCAGTTCCTCTCCCTGAGTGGCTACCCCTAGGGCCTGGGGCCTGAGCCCGCTCTTCAGGACCCTGGGGCCTCAGCTCGCCCAGAGGGAGGGGACAGCAGGGGGCTGAGGTCTGGGGAAGGCACCTGCAGCCCCGCACAGACTGCCGAGGCCAGGGGCAGGGCCGGCCAGGTTGCCAGGGGACGCCTGGGGTGGCCGCAAGGCTGGCCGGCTGCAGGTCCAGCACCTGGCGGAGCCCACAGAGCGAGTTCCTTCCACGGGGTCCCAAGGTTTCCCGGTCACCAGGTGGGGGGAAGCCAGAGTCGCCTCGGGCGCCTGGTTAGGGATTGTGACAAGCGCTGCGCACCCCGGGAGGGGAGTGGAGGGCTCGGACCGGGCAGCAGTCCCCCGGGTTCCAGAAGCCCCGCACCCCAGTTCGGAGTGCAGGCTAGGGGCAAGGCGAGCACCACTACACTTCCCAGAGAAAAACCCGGGAGGGCGGAGAGGGTTCGAGGTGGAGTGCGAAGGGCAGAGACCTGTGAGGGAAGGGGACAAGAGGCGCCCGGGGATCTCTGAGCCCGGCGGGCGCGGGGCCGCAGTCCCCGGCCACCCCGGGAGCAGGGCGAGCTCGGGGCTCCCCGCGAGGACCCCGACTCACCAGAGCGACATGGCGGCGCGGCCGAGCGTCGCGGGGCGCGCGGGGCGCAGGTCTGGCGCGCGGCGGGGACGGCAGGAGGAGGCGGAGGCCGGGCCGCGCCCCTGCGCGTCTTTTTCCCGGCGGAGGGCGGGGAAGGGGCGGTGGCCAGGTGCGTTAACCCCTTCGGCGCCCGCGGGCAGCAACCCCCGCCCGGGCGTCCCGTCCCCGCCAGTCCCGCTCGGAGTGCGGAGTGCACGGGGGTCACTGCCGCCTCGGGCGCGCCCCTGCTCCGCGCGCCTCCGGGGTCGCTGGCCGCTCCGGGACACGTGGGACACGCGACACCCGCCCACCTCAACGCCCACTCCACCTCCCGGGGCCCCTGGCGGACCCGCCCTGGGCTGGGTGGGGGCACTGCAGGACGGGATTCCCTTTCCCCTCGGCCGCCTGTGCCCTCTCCTCCTTCCAGGCCCCGGGCACCCGCACCTGGGCCCGGCCTCGGAGGAAGAGGGGCTGGGCCCGGAGCGAAGGCGCCACCTCCCGGGCAGAAGGGGCGGGAGGAGACCAGGCCGCCTGGGTCGGACCCCAGTCCGGGCCACAGCTCTGGAAGGCTTTCCTGTCCTCGGGCGGCTCCTCCTCCACATCTGAGGGTACCCCCATGACCGAGGGAGAGCCTGCCACCGCCATCCGGGCCCGGGCCCCTCCTCAACAACAAACGTGAACCACCTTCTCGTCCACCAACACGTATTTCACTCAAAGTCCTTTTTGTCCCCAAGCCTTTATTGATCTGCTTGCTTGGGTGCCAGGCCCGGCTCCTCTTGGGCAGTGGGCTGCACACAGACGTAGACAAGGGAGCAGGTGTGTTGGCCCAGGCTGCAGGATGATGTCCCGGGTAGGTGACCTGGAGGATCCAACAACAAGGCCTCCTTCTGGCCTCCTGTAGTTCTGGTCCTGTTCCATTTTGGGGTCCCAGGACTGAGTGTACAGAACTTCAAAAATGACCACAGAAATGGGGCACACGCCTGTAATCCCAGCTACTGGGGAGGCTGAGGCAGGAGGATTGCAAGTTCAAAGCCTGAGTACCCTTAAAGAGACCCTGTCTCAAAATAAAAAATAAAAAGGGCCAGGGATGTAGCTCAGCGATTCCTGGGCTCAATCCTAGAGTGAGGGGAGAGCCTGTAGAATTGAAATGGAGCATTTTATGGTCTGCTGATAACAGGTAATTCTCATGCAGTACTCATAACTTGCCAAGCCCAGTTCCAGGCCCTGGGCATTAATAGGTCACTTGGTGCTCAAGGCCTGTATGGTAATTATTCCTGACTAATGGAGGTACAAGAGGCCAAGACCAGGTGAGAGGTCTTCCGGAGTCAGTGAGCCATTTTCCTGCCCTGGGGGCACACAATCCTTAGCTGGGTCCCACGTGTGTCAAGAGCCCCTTTGGCCCTTTTCTTAAGGCTCAAGGGTCCCTTGGAGGGGAAGGAAAAACTTGAGGTACAACGGAATTTTCCGAGCTGTTGTAAACTGTGATCAGGGAATGCGAAGGGCCTTCCAGGCCAAATTCCAGAGAAGAACCTGGGTTAACACTGACCTGAAGTACCAGGCAGGACTAAGGCTCTAGGTAGCCCGAAGTCCATTGGCCAGGCCGCCTGCCAGTGAGGTCCAGTCACAGCCCTATTGGTCCCTGTGGCCCCCTTTAGCCCAGCTTGACCCGCCCCCTCCCAGCAGCACAGCCAGGCTCTTGCAACCCCCTGGCCCGTGAGGGACAGCTAGGGGTGCAGTTCCTGGCCTGAGGCTCACTTGTCACCTGAGATGTCTTCAGGCACCGAGGAGGCTGGACACAGCTGTCTCCAAGAGGGGTCGTGAGCTAGTGTTGGGGACTGGAGTCGGTGGGGGCTGGGTCTGCACCCTGCACTTCCCGGCTGCCACTTGGGGTAGGTGACCAATCCCTCCCAGATCTCGATGTCCTGTCTGGGCAGAGCTGGGTGAGAGGGCGCACGGGAAGCGAGCACATCAGTGTCTCCTGCCTGGCGAGCATCGTGGTGACGGTGGGGGTGACTGGCAGCAGTTTGGTCATGACTGTCTGGCCTACCCCACGAGACCCCAGCACTAGGAGGGCCCAGAGACGGGGTACGGTCGGGGGGGCAGGGTGAGCTAGGGTTTGGAAGTGGGATCCACTAAGACAGTTTGTCATGAGGGAGTTATTTGGTCTGTGCTCAGAATGGGGGAACGAATGACAAATGCGAGAGTTCCTGAGGGAGAGTGGGGGGGACTGGGAGCCTGGCAGGGTCCGGGGCTCCCCTGCGTGGCCCACACCTCCGATCAACTCCCACGGGCAGAGCAGATCGCTGTAGACCGGCTCAGAGCTGGGGAGGTCGAGCAGGGCCAGCCTGCAGGTGTGGTCTGGGCTGCCCCGAGTCGTGGCCACAGCGGGAACCTGCTCACAGGAGGTGGGGCAGGGGAGGGCGGGAAGCACATGGCCCAGCAGGTGGCCCAGCCATTTGTATCTGTGTGGCCTCCGCCTGCTGCCCTGAATGGGGCCCTCCATGAGCTGGGACGCAGGAGGACTCCCAAAGACCCCTTCCCTGTCTCCTCTTCCCCATCTATGCCTCCCCGTTACCTCTTTTGGCGCCTCAGTTCCGCTTCCTCCTCCCCATGTTCTGGGGATCCAGACCCTGCTGGTGGCCACAGCACAGGGAAGGTGTGGGGAGACGTGTGACCCACCAAGGGACACAGTGGGCCAGTGCTTGGAGGGACAGAGTGGGGTGACTCGGGCCAGAGGAAGCCAAAAGCAGAATATGAGGAGCCCGAGTGCCCTTGGAGAGAGCCCAGCCCTGGCAGTGGTAGATAGAGAACCATGCCACTGTCATTGCTTCACCCAAACAGTGGGCTGTGAGTGGGTGAATTAATTTTAGGGTTTGAAAGACTATGAGCAGAAAGTTACAGTCCAGGGGCAGCACAGCGTGGGCTTCAAATGTGGCACAGTGGACAGTCTGGGAATTAGCACCAGAGGATTGGAATCCTTTGTTCTTTAGTGGGAGGAGTGTTGCTGAAGATGTGTGTCTGATGGGGCTTGGCCACCCTTCGGAGCAGGGCCGGGCCCAGAATTTTCTCTAGTCCATCCTGAGCCCCATGGAGATGTGGCTGTTGATTGAGCTTGACATGGGTCAGTGCGCCCCAAATCCACCCCAGGGGTGCTTCCCTGCCGAGGATGGAGGGGCTTCCCACAGCTGCTCGGTGGGTAGCTTTTCCTGAGACCCAAGTTCTGTGTACCCGGCCCTCTGATGAGGAGGCATAGGACGGAGACCTGTCTGCTCCTTGCAGGTCCCCAGGGCCTACTGTGGATGACCTGGTCCACCATGCAGGGCAGTGCTGGAGGGGCCTGGGACCCCCAGATAAGGGACATCCAGGCTGGTGCTGGAGGACTGCATGGAGGAGAAATGGGTCTGTCCTTGCTCTGGTGTCCCCAAAACCACAGCCCAAGAGGCGGGGCAGGACCTGAATCCAGGGCCCAGGAGGTCAGGTGTGGAGAATGAGTGGGCTGGGTTCTCCCTCCCAGGGCTGGGAAGAGGAGGAAGAGGCGGGCAAGGAGCAGTGGAGGCAGCGGGAGGCAGGCGAGTGTGGAGAGCGGGAGGAGGCGGCGTCTTCAGCGCAGGCAATGGCTTCGTCCACATCCGGAAAGTCCCCTCACTGGGGAAGACTGGGCAGAGAGAATCCCAGATTGCAAGAGCTGAGCTGCACGCAGGAAGGTCAGGAGGGCTGGCTGAGGTCCACTCGCAGTTCTCTGGCCCCTTTCCTGAGCCCAGCAGCCGCCAGCTGGTTGAGGGACAGCCGAGGACACACAAGGCTCTGTGGAGGCTGAGCTGGGCAGCCAGAAGGAAGCCAGGGTTCAAAGAGGCCCAGGACCCAGGGGCAGGGAGGCCAGGAAAGAGCTGAGGGCAGACTGGTGCTCCCCAAGACAGCCTGTGTCCCCGGCAGCACACCAGGCTCTCGGCGGGTGCACATGGATGCGCTCTAGGCCACACACGCAAGCGTGCACACCCAGCACACCCAGCACACAGCACACACAGAGCCACGCAGAGCCACGCAGGCTCAGACACATGAGCACACGCACCCGGGACACACCCGTGCGGAGGGACACAGGCTGCACACATGTGTAGGTTGTTGACACAGATGCACAGAGAAGTAAGCACATTCGGAGATATACACACGTGCATATGCATGCGCCCTGAGACACCTGCACACTTGTCTCACACACACATATGCACCCTGTGTCCACATCCACACCCATGCCATGGCCTCTCCTGGGTGAGAGAGACCTTCCTCAGCCAGCTCCTCTGCTACCTGTGAAACCCTGTCTGGCAAGCTCTTGGGAACAGGCTCAGGACCAGGCTGGTCCCTGCTGCATTCCTGAGCAGCCTCTTTTGGTTGACAGGTTTTTGTTTTTGTTTTGGTTTTTTGACACAAGGTTTTAACAGGGCTATGAGACAGGGTTAGCCCTGAACTCACTATGTAGCCAGGCTGGAACTCTCACCCATCCTCCTGCCTCAGCCTCCCTAGTGTGGGCTGAGCAGCTTCTTTTGATTGTGTCTGTCCTCCGGGGACCCTCTGGGCATTGTCCATGCACCCTAACAGCCATATCTGCCCCTGCAGCCCTGGCCTCCTCTCACCAGACCCCGGCCTCCTTCTGTTCAAACGCACTGTGCCCTTCTGAACTGGGTGAACTCCTGCTTGCCCTTCAAAACCCACCCTAACTGCCCTTCCCTTGGAGTAGGTGCTTCTGCACCGTTCGCTGCCACCTTTGCCAGCACAGTGGGTACAGACATCAGGGTGCCCCTCTGTCTTCCTGGTGGGCAATGCCTGGGAGGGAGGAAGGGTGGGGAGGGCTGAAGGCCAGGTTTGCCGGCCACAGCCAGAGCAGACAGGGTGTCCCCACCCCGAGACAGACGCTGTCTGCAGCCCCACCCCCAGGCCGCAGTCCAGACTCACACTGGCACATTCAGGCCAGGGCGGCCAGGGGCCTGGTCCTGCACAGCTGTGCCCAGGCTGCGCCCCCCTCGGCCTGGTGACTCACAGCTCTGCCCGCCGGGGGCCAGCGGGGGACACACAGCCGCCTTTCAGCCCCTCAGCTCAAACACTAGCTCAGTCTTCGCTCCTGGCGCCTCCCTCCGGCCGCCAGCCCCCTCCGGCTGCAGTGCCCA